TGGGAGGAGGGCTCGGCACGGGGCCGCCCCCGCACCCGCCGGCCTGCAGCATGTCCGGTGAGTACCTGGCGGCCCCGCCGCGCCGAGGCCCTTCCCAGCGCGCCGGCCTCAGCCAGCCCTTCCCGCCCCGGCGGCGCGGGTGCCTCTGCGGAGCCCTCTTCCCCCGGCACAGAGGCGGCAGCGCGGGCGAGGGGCTTCCGTGTTGTCTTAGCGCCGGGTACTGGGCTGGAATTAGCTGCCCCAGCTTAGGATTTAAACCATCTGGCCTCTGGGATGAAGGAGCTAAACTCATTTATCTCTTCTGCTTATAAATGTAAAGCGGCCGGCCCCGCTGCCTGTGCGCTCTCCTCACGGGTCGCAAGGCATCGGCGACAGCCTCGGCGAGGCGGCGTCGAACCCGCGTATCGGCCAGCAGCGCTGGTGATTTGGGTTGGAGCTGTCCGTAAAGACACGGTTTAGGTGCGGTGTAGGGGCAAGTGCAAGTGCTGTGCCGTGTTTCAATCGTGCTCAAATTTCAGGAGAGAGTTGGGCGGCCACCCCCGAAAGTTGGTTTTGTTGAACACTTCAAGGGCGTCACTGGCGTGTGTTAATTCAGGCTTGGTGCTCGCCAGCAGGCCCAAGGGCTGAGAGAAGTGCATAGCCCGACATCTCCGAATTAGGAGGCTGTTCGGGGCTTTTTCTGACAGGAGGATGGAGAAGTTGGAAACATCTAACGTCCCGTGTGCAGCCCTCTACCATGGCCTGTCAAAGACAGGCTTTCCAGGAACTGCCTGAGCAAGTCTTGCTGTTTCCTTCAGACTTCTATATTATATTACCACATCAGGACCGGTTTTGGGTGCTATGCATTATCCTTGTTTGTATTTTAGAATATTGGTGCATTTTATTTTTCATAAGATCATTTACTATCTATTGAATGAAAAAAATGCAAGGCCTGGAAGCACAGCCTTCCTGTAATCAATTGAAAGATAATTAATAAAAGCTACACAAAATGAGAAAAACTTCTTCGCTTTATAGCCTTCCAAGATAATTGCAGTAGTTAAGTAACTAAAATTAATTGTTTTCTTTAATAATGAGTTATAGAGAATTATTCTTTTGAACTTGGTTAGACAAGGTAAATATTTTACTTGTCATCAACTGTCAGTTTGTATTCCTTTTTACAAAGGTGTGTGTAACTGTGCTGGTTGTGCCAGCATAACATTCATCAGTAATGTATTTCTAGTACTGGGTCCAGATTGAGGAAAGCGGAACATCGAAAGTCAAATATCCAGCCATGACCCTATCGCTATGGCAGGAGCTGCTGCTGTGCCAAAATCTCGTGTAATGCTTTCTGAAGATGCTGTGATGCAGCTGTTTGTATTTTCTTTTTGCCTACTGAAACAAAATACTTTATACTTCTTTCTAAGGTTGTGGGTATCACCTGGAACAGAGCTTTCTATTCCTCACTCTTCTGACAGTCACGCTAGGCCAGGGAAGTGAGAAAGCTGGTAACTGCCTCCATCCTTGCCATAGACTAACCCATCTTCACTGAAAGGTGCTTTTGGGGGAAGGTGCGTGGGGGCCTGTGTGTGGGAGGAGAAGGAATAAAATTGTTGCAAAATACCCTGCGAGGTGCAGCTGTTGTGCTGCTGTCTCGTGGGATGGCAGGAGGGCTGGCTGGGGCAGCCACAGCTGAGATGTGCCTGCCTTGAGGTGCCTGCAGCTGCAGAGGAAGCGGTGGAGGTGAAAAAGGAACCGCAGGTGGTAACAGCGAGACATTTCGGAGAACAGCGAGGCGGTGTCGGCCGGCATGCACGGCAGCGCTGCTGCCAGCCGGCTGCAGCTTGCTAGCTGTGGAGTCACCTCCCCATACCCCGGTGCTGAAGTTGACAAGGGGTTATTTGGGAATGCTGGCAAGGAAAGTTGCAGCAGGAGAGTCTCTGCTCTCCTATGGCAATTTTGGAATGGGCAACTTGTCATATTTTATCTGTTAGTCTAGAAATGTTTTGGTCTCCTGAAGCCTGACTTGGCACAGCAGCTGGGCAAAGGCTGAACGTGTTCTCGTGCAATCAGAAGGAAGTTTTGTAAACGCACTTCTGTCCATGTCTAGTAGACAAAACAAAACAACAAAAAGACAGACTTGAGGCTGTCAGGTGCACATGGTTTATTAGGTGCTGATTACTGTGGGTCATTCCTGATTCTCACTGGATACCTCCTTGCCTCTCTGTCAGCCTGCACTTTGTTGAAGCTTTTTGCCTTTTCCTTTTCTTTTGGAACATCAAAGCGAGCAGCACTCTTTTCTGCCCAGCTGCCACAGGCTCTGAGTAAGGCCATCATGCTGCCCTAGAACTGGCTCTCAGGCCTGGTAAAGAATTTTACCTCAGCCAGTTTCGTAGGAGGAACGGTCATGAGTTGGCAACGTGAGAAGCCAGGAATTTTGGACTAAAAAAAAAAAGCTGTAACTAGTTTCACGTAAATCACCTTGGCTGCAAGGGTGATTCACATTATTTTTGATGTCTCTTTTTACAGAGTGCTCTGATTAATTCAGCCAAGTTGTTTACTTGAAAATCCCTGGTTTGTTCTGACCAACTAACAGACTTCAAACTTTGTATTTTCTTGTGCTGTGTGCTAATCTAGACAAGAGAAATCGGGAGACTTTTAGATTCATGTGAGATAGTTTAATACAATTCTAGTGAGAAGCTTATATTTCTCATAATTCACAGAGTCAGTCATGTGAGATAGTTTAATACAATTCTAATGAGAAGCTTATATTTCTCATAATTCAGAGTCAATGATGTTAGCTACAGGGTTTCACAGCTTGAGAACAATTTGTGTTAAGTATTAATACCAATCATACTGGGTGAGAAATCCCATTGTCATTCAGCATGAAGAATTGACAGTTATGCAAAAGCAGCATTTGACGTTTAAAAAATCTAGTTGAATTAAAAAATTCTAGATGAATTTCAAAGACTAACACCCTTGGCCTTCAAATTTAAGAGATCAAATACTGCTTCTTTTTCAGTTTAAAGTCAGTGAGCGAATTCCGGGGTCACTGTATTTAATACAAAAATCTCCTTGACTTCAGTTTAATGGGAATTTCAGGCAAATGGTTAATTTTCAGAAATCTACATGAAAATCTGGTCCTTAATTTCTAGCTTTGAAAATAAAGTGCTAGGTTATAGGAACAGTGTTTCAAAGAACAGTCATTCTGAACATGGAAAGTAAAGCTACCCTTCTTCCCTGAAAATGCAGAATAGATGAAAGAAAAAGTGGTGAAGTCTGTTGATTTTTACACTTCTTAATGGGTCAGCGATGCCTGGGTATGATTCTGAAATAGCAAGAGAATGCTTCTGTCTTTGGACCAAAAATATTTTACTACTGTATGGTTTCAGTCAGTAGTTCTATTGCCTGTTTAATTATCTCTATAATGTTTTGTTCCATTGAGAAGGCCATACATAATATGTATTTCAAATTTGCTTCTCAAAAGTGAAAATTGGTTTCTTTTCTTTGAGAAACATTAGCAAAAATTTCTTAGAAACTGTGCATTGCTTCATTTCCTTATACTTCTTATAGACTTCTTATCACAACTTTGGCCTGAGAAATATGGGGCAGGCTGTGTGTGTGTAGGCTGTGGTAATTTGCCATACCAGCTTGCTAAGCTATTTGATGAGTAGCCTGTGTATTTTTAGAATTATTATTTAAATGTAAATATTCAGCTTCTGTAGCTAAAAGAATTTGCAGAAGCAATAAGATGATTATGTGTTTAATCTCATGGTTCTTATTTTAAATAGTATTTTAGGATTTTAAACTCCCACTCATGTCATGGTTTGCTTTTTGTACTAAACTCGCTCACATTCCTCTCAGTACTTGTTTTATTACCTTGTTTTGGATGACGAAGTTTCTGTCCAAGCACAGAAGTGTCTTTCTTTGCTGAGTCTTTGTTTCTTTATCACTTGAGACTGAGAGCAATCACTTTATTGCTAAAGTAACCTTCATTTTCTCCCCCCCAACCCTGTAAATTATGCTCATTTTTATATATTTAACCTTTAGAAAAGTTGCAGGAGGAGCAGTTTAGTAGCACAGCAGCCCTTTCAAGCTATCCATGGAAGCACTTTCTTACTCATCGTTGCTGTAACACCCGTAAGTTGCTTGGGTGAGTTATGGGCAGCGATTCCAGGAGGTTCAGGTGCACCCACGCTGAAAGCTCCTTTGCACTTTATTGCCTTCCTGCAGGTGTTGTGGTTAAAAATGCTATTGGAGTTTGCTTAGTTGAGGGATCTGCAAACTAATTTAAATTTAGGGCAGATGATTCAGGTTTTTAGGGGAGGTTAATGCTAGTGGGACGCTCCCGAGTTGCAGGGATCTGTCTTAAGATGCCCAAACGCGTGCGGTGTTGGGATTGATCGGAATTTGGGCCTGGGTGGAGATGAGTGGGAAGCAGCAAAAAGCACTGGGAAGGAGGACAGCCTTTTCTTGGGGCAGTATCCAGAGCTGTGTTTTGCTTAGGAGTTGAAGGGCAAGGAAGTTATGAAAATACTGAGTATCTGAGAGCTGATAGCCGTCCTTGGTGCCGTGCCTTGATGTTCGGCCCGCGGGCTGGACTCCCTCGTTTTGGCAGCCTCTGCCTGCAGCAGCCGTGAGGGCATTTGCTGGGCTCTGTGTGACCAACTAGCTCTGTGAGATTCTTTCCCAGTGGCTGTCATGCAGCCTGGAAACCGTGAGACAGGGGAAATATATATATATATTTAATGCCTTAATAACATGATGGTGATTTTAAACAAGTGGTTCAAAGCAGGTATTTACTGAAGCAGCATTATGTGCTGTAGAGCTCAGCAGAATTCCCCTTGTCTGTCTGGTTCAGCCAACTTGTTTTGGTTAATTTTGTAGTGTTGCTTTCACATGTCTGAAAGATACCACCCACCTCACTAGATTTTAGATTCTACCTCTCTAGAAGACAAAACAACATCAGAGGACAGACTTGAAGTGGTTTCTGGTGACATAGGCGTGATACCAGTACCAAGTGCACGATGTGTGTTACTGCACAGGGCTGTAGGTTGCTTCCTTCACTGCCAGAGCTTCTTTTCCCCATGTTTCTCGAGTCCAAGGAGTGGTCCCCCTTTTCTTGGAGGTCCTTGAAGAAGGGG